TTCAAAAAACAACCACCCGCCTTTTATTTTGAAATGGATATTAGTAAAATCATTTCTGTACTTAATCGTTCCATATCAAAACTTTCCACACTTGAACAAAGACGTGCTGCCCTGACTAACATCGTATAAATTATATTTGCATGCATATGTCGTGGATGATCAGATTCGTAAGGTAGAATATGAGGTTCCCAAGCTGATTTATGATAAATAGTTGTTTTTAATTGTCCATTATTATTTTCAATACTAGCATCAAGATATTCTAATGCTTGATTTATCGTAATAGTAATTTTAATATTAGGATCTGTTTTCATTGTTTCATTTAGTTGTTGTAAAATTTCGTCTTTTGATAAATTCGTAGTCATAAATACATCGTCAATATATCTACAAAATATTAATAAAGTATAAGCATAAAAGAATAGAGAAATAATTATTTGACACTTACCGGCCATACATTTCATGCTGTCTATTTTGATGTTGAATTAATTTTTGTTCCCATTCTAACATGTAAATATTGGCGAGAACCATAGTAAATGGTGAACCCATAGCACCACCTTTAATTTGTCGATAATATTTATCTTTATAAGCAAATGAATTTGTATCTAAAACTACGCGTGCTAATCGAATAATCGTATCTATATTGAGATTTCCAATTTTGCGATTTATTGAATATTTCTCACAAAATCGAGTTAAGGGCCCCCCCCCCCCCTAAAAAAGTCAATTTTGGTCAAATCCATCAATTTTGTGATTCATAGCTCGTTAGATAGAGCTACGTGTCTACTTTCGAATGCACTATAGTTTATTGGTTTTATGATGAGATTTAAGGATATTGCACAGGCTTTTTTGAACCTCTCGTAGGAGAAAATAAGGTTTTTCTAAAAAGTTTTGGTTTTTTCTCAAAATAGGATTTTTGATTTTTACATTCTCGTGCGTCCCAGATTTCTCCGCCATTTTAAACGCTAGAAAGCTGGGCTTGGTGTCAAAATGAAGGCAAAAGTTAGCTCTACAACTTAACAGAGCCGGATTTTTTGATTTTGCCCTTAATATTTATTGAAAACTAACTGTTCCAAACCTATACCCCTTGGGTTTTTCGTATTTTACCAGAGAAGTCTTCTAGAAACACAAGCTAAGAAAAAAACAAAAAATCGGGCCCTGTTAAGTTGTAGCGCCATGTCTGGGCTACATTTTAAAACCAACCCGAACTTTCTAGCATTTAAAGTGGCGGAGAAATTTGGGACGCACGAAACCCTAAATTTTGACCCATAAGCTTAAGCTAGCTCTTCGTACACTCAATATATCGAGCTGAAATTTTTACTGTAAGGTACCTAGCCCAAGATACACCTCCGCTGAAAATTTCATCAAGATTGGATGCTCAGAAAAAAAAATTTCTTTTAGGGGGGCCCCCTTAAGTCATACAAATTTTCTATTGTGTTTCTTTTCTTTCTGTTCAGTAATAGGATTTTTCCCTTTATTCCCTCGACTAAAGGGAGGGTCATATGAAAAAAATAGTTTGTTTGCTTGTTATGTCTCCTAAATTTTTTCCTTCAACACTTTT